CGAAACCGCGGGGGAAATCGGGCGAAGCCGCGGGTCAAAATGCAGCTGCGCAGCTTCGAGTGGGAAATTGACCAATAGAAGCGGGGCAGAGGGAGGCGCAACTGCGGCGCGCAGCTCTTGTGTGAAATTGGTCTCTCTGTCTCTCTCTGTCTGTCTGTCTGTCTCTCTCTGTCCATCTGGCTGTCTCTCTCTGTCTCTTTGTCTCTCTCTGTCCATCTGTCTGTCTTTCTGTCTCTCTGTGTCTGTCTCTGTCTGTCTCTTTCTGTCTGTCTCTTTCTGTCTTTCTGTCTCTCTCTCTCTCTCTCTCTGTCTCTCTCTCTCTCTCTCTCTGTCTGTCCGTCTCTCTGTGTCTATCACTGTCTGTCTGTCTCTCGCTCTGTCTGTCTTTCTTTCTCTCTCTCTCTCTCTCTCTTTCTCTGTCTGTCTCCGTCTCTCTCTGGAAAAGCCAGGTTTCTCACTGCCTTTCAATCCACCGAGGAGTTATCTATGTGGGTCTCACAGTGGGTGGGCTGGGGGTGGGTGGGAACACCATCCTCCTGACCCCCCCGCCCCGGCCTGCGTGCCTCTCTGGCTTCTTGCAGGGCATGATCACCCTCGTCCTGAACTGCATCGACCGCCTCAACGTCTACAGCACCGCCGCGCACTTCGCGGAGTATGCCGGAGAGGAAGCGGCCGAGTCCTGGAAGGAGATTGTGAACCTGCTGTACGAGCTGCTCGGTATGTGGCTCGAGAGTGGGGGGGTTCCGGCAAGGCAGCTTTCGGGGGGGCAGGGCGGGATGAGGGAGCTGCTGAAGTGCCCTCGAGCCATACGGGAATTGCTCTCGTGGCCAGAAGGCTGGGGAAGTGGGGTGGTCATTAGATTCTGTTAGCATATAGTACTGAGAGTAACTGCAAGTATGTAACCTTTTTATTTTATTTCTTTTATCCAAAGTACCGTACCCATGTTTTATTTTGTTTTATAGTAAATATATTTTTCTTTTACTAATGTGGCTCTTGTGTTTGCAATACGACCATCGATCCTGAATCATAGAATCCCAACAAATTGGTAGCAGAGGATGGCCAACAGATTCCCCATTAGTAGAGGAAGAGGGAGATGCTAGTAGCGGAGTGTTCCAAATAGGGGGCGTGTCTATGCAGAACGGGCAGCGATGTTGCCTCTTCTGGTGGGAAGGAGAGCCCCCCCGGTCCCAATCCTGCAGGTGATGCGCACGCAGGAATCTCTCCAGCAGCCGAAAGAAAGAAGGGTCGATTCTAGCCCTGGTTTGGTCTGGATTTGACCATAGCTTGCGCAGACAATCCACCCAGATTTAAATTTGTGAGATTTGTAGGCCAAAAAGTGTGCCGGTCGGTTGGGTCAGTCACCTTTATTGGCATGTGCAGATACTACCAACAGCCGTTGAACAGAGTGGGGTACAAAGCCAACGATATAAAAACCTGTGTGATATTTTAAAAAGAAAATTAATACTATGGGCGATTTCTCACTAGAGCTGCCTCGCAGCACAGTGCCGTTTGCCTCAACACAAACATGTCAATTTCACACCCGAGGCTGAGGGGCCGATTTCCCCCGATTTCCTCCGCAGTTTCATGATCCTCAAAAACCAGGATCACGAAACTGCGGAGGAAATCGGGGGAAGCCCCGAGTCAAAATGCAGCCCCGGAGCTTCGGGTGTGAAATTGACATGTTTGTGTCGGGGCAAAGAGCGCTGTGCTGCGAGGCAGCTCTAGTGAGAAATCACCCAATAACATTTCCTGGCAGGCTCTTATCGTGGACTGTAAAAACAGGGCTACCTTCTCAGTAACGTCAGGTCAGCGACTGTTCAGAAGACGATAAACCGTAACGTGATCAGAGAGGCCCGAAAACCAATCCACAAGAAAAAAGGAGGAGATTGGATTTATACCCCGCCCTTCACTACCCAAAGGAGTCTCAGAGCGGCTTACAAACTCCTTTTCCCTTCCCCTCCCCACAACAGACACCCTGTGAGGTAGGTGGGGCTGACAGAGCTCTTGACAGAAACGGCTCTTTTTCAAGGACAGCTCTTATCAGAACTATGGCTTGCCCAAGGTCATCCAGCCAGGTGCAAGTGGAGGAGTGGGGAATCGAACCCACTTCTCCCAGATTAGAGTCCACGCACT